CCCGGGCCTGGGGGCGGTGGGGCAGGGCCGGAACCCACAGTGAAGGACGGCCCCGAGGCCCGAGACGCCCCGAGTGTGCGCGGGGAGCGCAGGCGAGAAGCGGGGGAATGGGGGGCGCGGGGCAGAGGGCGGGGGGCTGGCGCCACCTGTGGCCTGTGCGGTGGGACTTAAAAACTCTTGCGCCCTTGTAGTGCTTGGGGGTGACTAGCTCCATGTGTTTCTTGGGTTTCCGTTTTCCTGCGAGCATTGGAAAAATGGGAGGGAAAGGTGTTGAAGCGTTTCAAATCATGCCGGTATCCGAGTTATTAGAGGACAGGGATCGGAGTTGGAATGTACAGGGAGATGTTTCTGGAGCTTAAAAGTTGGGCCTACTTTAGGCTCATAACTCACTCTTGAGCCTCTTAAAACTCTTACTGATTTTGGTGACTCCACAGAATAATTATTCACTCAGTGAATTGTTCTTGGATAATGATGAGACATGTTTTCCAGGTTTATTGAGAAATAATTGACATATATTAGTTTATGTTTAAGGCACAAAGCATGATGGTTTGATTTACGTATATTGTAAAATGATTGTTGAAATAGAAATAGGTTCAGCTAACATCCATCATTCTTGTATAGATACCATTAAAAAAAAAAGGAAAGAGAAAAAAAAATTTTTTTCCTGGTGACGAGAATTCTTAGGATTTACTCTATTAACGACTTTCCTATAAATCTCATAGCAGTGGCAACCATAGTCATCATGTGGTACATTACATCCCTACTACTTATAACAAAATTGTTCCTTTTGACCGCCTTCCTCCAATTCCCCCTCACCTTACCCTCTGCTTCTGGTAGCCACAAGTCTGATCTCTTTTTCTATGAGCTTGGTGTTTTTTTTTTTTCGTTTGTCTTTTTAGATTCCGCATCTAAGTGAGATCGTACACCGTTTTTCTTTGACTTACATGCCTTCGAGGCCTATCCATGTTTGTCACAAATGGTAGAATTTCCTCATTTTTTATGGCTAATATTCCATTATACACACACACACACACACACACACACCCACCCACCCACCCACCCACAACTTTATCCATTCATTCATCCATGGACATTAAGGTTTTCCTGTCTTTGCCAATGTCAGTAATGCTGCTGTGAACATGGGGATTCAGATGGCTCTCCGAGTCAGTGTTTTTGTTGGTGTGGGAAAATTTAAATTCAGATCCCAGTTGGATGAATGTTCTTGTATAAATTTTTTTTCAAATAGACTTAACTGAAATAGAGAAGCCTGAGTTCTGTCTGATGTTGGTGGGCACATGGAGACTGGGGAAGAAGGAGGTGACAGGTTCTACTTCCGGAATATCACACATTCCTAGCATTTTATTGTATTTTTGGATAGTTAGATTGGCACTTGAATTAGTTGTTAGTGGCTCCTCTTAATTTCTCGTGCATTTTTTTTTCTTCCTTTTCTCTTTTCTCCAGTATTTCCTTTTTTTCTCTTTCTGGAGACTTCAAAACAAAAATGACTTAAATAGGGTGCCTGGGTGGCTCAGTTGGTTGGGCGACTGCCTTTGGCTCAGGTCATGATCCTGGAGTCCTGGGATCGAGTCCCACATTGGGCTCCAGGCTCTGTGGGGAGCCTGCTTCTCCCTCTGACCCTCTCCCCTCTCATGCTGTTTCTTAATCTCTCTCTCAAATAAATACATAAAATCTTTAAAAAAAAAATGACTTAAATAGGGGTGCCAAGTGGTAGGTTAGGTTAATTCAGTTCACTTTTTAGTTGTATTTTTCTTCCCCCATTGCTGTTCTCCATAGGGTTGAGAGGACAGAGAATCTTTCTGGAATGTCTGATGAACTGTCAGCAAAAGTTAAATTTCACAGTTACTGTTCCAGCTGTCTGTGTCCACTGTAAGATCTATATTATAGATCTCCACTATTTATTTATTTATTTTAAAGATTATATTTATTTGAGAGAGAGAGAGAGAGCACAAGCCAGGGGGAGGAGCAGAGGGAGAGAGAGAGAGAGAGAGAAGACTCTCCGCTGGGCAGGGAGCCCAATGCAATGCGGGGCTCATGCAATGTGGGGCTCCATCCCAGGACCCTGAGATCATGACCTGAGCCTAAGGCAGACACTTAACCGACTCAGCCACCCAGGTGCCCCAATCCCCACAATTTAAAACAAAAATTAAAAAATTCGGGTATGTAAAAATAGGGTGCCAGGTATTTTTTAATGGAAAAGAGGAGTCTGAAGGGGAAATAGCTTCCTTGCTTTTTCAGAATAAAAACCAAAGACTTTACAATTGCCTTTAAAGCCCTAGATCTGTAACACCTTTCCTCCCCAGCATACTCCTTTGATCTGGCCCTTCCTTGAGCACACCAGGCTCACTTTTGCTTGCCTCAGGGGCTATGCATTTACTCCCAAGATCTTCCTGGATCACTTTTTCATTATAAAGCCACATAACTTTGTCCCCTCACCTCCTTCAGTTCTTTATTCAAATGTCACTTCCTTGGTTATTTAAATTGCAACCCCCCTACCCTTTACATAATTCTCTATCCTACTCTTCTGCTTTATTTTTCTCCTTACTCTTAGCAACCTATAATGTACTTATGTTTGGTGTCCCCCACTAGAAAGTAAGCTTAATGAGAGTAAATAGTCTTGTTTTGTTAATTGCTGTGTCCTCAGCACTTAGCATAGAACTTAGCGTGCATTGGGGTGCTCAACAGTTTTCTCCTTGTCATGAATTTTTGATCATGATTGGTTGTCCTTGGAAGTGTGGAATGAATTTTCACTAGGATTTTGTGAGGTATTTATTGGAAGAATTTGAGATTCTTTTTCTATCATTTCTTGCCACATTTCTCTTTTTGACAGAAGTCTTGTGCTTTCAGCTCATTGAATGAAAGCACTTTGAAGGCAGAGAGGATGAAGCATAGGGGATCTTTGGTGTTGGTGGTCCTAGAGGAAGATTATAGTAAGATCTCATGTGACTAGAATTTTTACCTCCCGCTTCAGGCTCCTCCCTTGATGTGTGTTCACTTCCCTGATGAGACAGTTACCATCCTTACCTCTTTGGCCCCAAGGCACTGAACAGGCTGGTTCCCCTTGGAATTTTTCAGTTGACTGAAGATGTTAGTATTTACAGTGTGGGCTCTATGGGTTAGATTTTTTCCCCCATTCATGTGGAGCCAGTTGAGCTCAAAAACTATGAGAATAGCTTTCTCTAACAATGATGGGAGTGGTTCATTCTGGGGAACATCTGATCCTTTTTTTCATAAATCCATTTTGGGGGGGCATTTTTAGCAACTAAATTCTATATTAAGTCTGAGGAGAAAAGGAGCAGGCCTCCTGAATTCTGTGGATTATCCCTCATTTATTTTTTCCTTTCTCATTTCTTGGTTGGCGCATTTGTTACCTTTGTTGACCTTCTGGCTAGAGTGGCCTAGATGAGGTTTCTCTTTGTGGCAGTCCTGGCCACTGTTCTCCAGCTTAGGAAGGCAAAGGGGGTGAGATAGGGGTTTTAACACTTTGTGGGAATGCTGGTGGCAAAGCTTAAAGTTTTTGCTTACACCTTTGCCAGGACATTGAAAGCTGCCAGGCCTATGAGAGAACAGTTTGTGGGAGGGTGGAAAAATTGGGGATCTTTTTTTTTTTTTTTAAAGATTTTATTTATTCATTTGAGACACAGAGATACAGCAAGAGAAAGCATGAGTAGGGAGAGAGGCAGAGGGAGAAGCAGGCTCCTCGCTGAGCCAGGAGCCGGATGTGGGGCTTGATCCCACGACCCTGGGATCATAACCTGAGCCAAAGGCAGACGCTTAACCATCTGAGCCACCCAGGCACCCCAGAATTGGGGATCTTGTATCTATTTGGACTGGATGTGGTTCTGATATTAGGGTAAAGAAGTAACAGCATCAGAAATAGATTAGTAGTTCTTATTTTGTGAATAATTTGACATAATATAGGTAGTTTGTTAAATCTTTCTATTAAACTTCTGTTGCCCTCTTTTAAATCCTTTCACAAAGTTTCTAGGAATTCTTTCTCATGCTCCAGAGATACTTAAACATTTCTATACCATGTTCTCAGCTCTGATAGATAGTACTGAGTACTGACAATGTTTCAGTGTAGGTAATGATTTCTGAATGATGCAGTGCTTATTCCTGTGCCAGATCTCTTCATAAACTCAAAGTTTTCAGGAAAAAGCATATTTTGAGGAAGGGATAAAAAGTGTTGCATTTTGGTTGCATGATCCCAGGGAGTGCAGAGGAGAGAATTTTGTGAAACAGTGTATGCTGTTTTTTGTTTTTTTTTTTTTAAGGTTTTTCTATGCCTCCTTGTAAGATTGGATAAGGGACTCTGAGTGTCCTTGTGTGGAATGTGCTGCCAGTTTACAAGTAGGAAAAATAACTGGACTCATGGTTTGAATGTGTATGCATGAATACAGTTGGTGGGTCTAATTTTAGAGACCTTCTTCACACACAGTGGCCTCAGTATTTTCCTCCAGCTGTATCCTTACTCTCTGTGTAGAAAACATTTGACTTAATAGTCTTTTAGTGGTTGGTTAACTTTTGTTCTTACCATGGTTGCTAGTTTATTTATTTATTTTTGTTTTAAAAATTTTATTTATTTATTTGAGTGAGTGAGAGCAAGAGCAAGAAAGAGAGAAAGCATGAGTGGGGTGAGGGGCAGAGGGAGAAGCACAGTCCCCCCTGAGCAGGGACCCGGTGTGGGGCTCGATCTCAAGACTCCAGGATCATGACCTGA